ATCAACATCAAAGTGTTTACATATAAATACTACTCTATCACAAATATCATTATAGTGAACAAAAATGAGGCTGTATAAATGATATGTTTAAACCTTTATTACGTGATGAAAGTTAAGTCAGCTACTATTTAGTAATAATTAATTCAGACTGATGACACAGTCTATTCTTCTGCAAAAAATAAATATAAATATTACCTGCTCACGTTAGAGAAACGTAATTTCTTTAAGAAAATGCTGTTTTGAGCTGAATATTTCTTAATCAACTTCTGTTTTTGAATAACGTGTTGATGTTTTGTTGTTGTTGTGTTGTTGTTTTTTGTTATTGTTGTCTTCAGAAAAAGACAATTTCAAAGTACAACTAAAATTATATGATTGAATTTGTAAGAAAATGGCCTCGTTTTCACACAGTCTGTGACAATATAAAACATGGATAAGAACCGAAAGACCGACTTTAGATACGAATCCTTAGATTATTGTTCCAACGTGTAATTTCTATTACATCGCGTAAAATGGTCCGACTTTTAAAGCGCGTTTTAAGATAATGGATTCCTGTTGTAATTAGTTAAGATGTATGAATTTCAAGTCTCACTGGCAGTAATGTAATCGACTGAAACTTTTCGGTCCCTTTAAGGTTTGGATACTAATGTTCAACCCAAATATTTCAGTGTCTTCTTCGTAAAATGGTCATCAGCAATTAGATCCAAAATTAGGTCGTACTGCGTGGAGTGAATTCATTTGCTTAAGAAGAATACAATATACAGAAAATGTTTGCTTCATTAACAAGGCCAATAACTGATGTTTTGAGATCATGTTTTTATATTAATTTTTATCATTTCTTATTTCTTTGTCTTAAAATTATTCTATGCTTATTTCCGGTATCAACCCATCCCAACTTAACTGGACGCACAACGTGACAAGTAATGTTTTTATCAGCTTTAATCATGTGCCTTTTAACAACATGCAAATTACTTGATATGTTCTGAGTGATATCAAATTTCATAAATGAGCTTTTTTTTATAAAGCTTTATTCTGGCACATATCAACTGCTTCTGGAAAATACATTAGAGATAATAGAGAAATATGCCAAGAATTATTTGAAAATCAATTTTTATGAGATTCGAAGCCTGATTTGAATTAAAAGCGTTGCAACGATTTTCGTTTTGGGGTTATTTTATTCTATCAGTATAAAATATTATTAAGGAACAACGGACTGAACAAATGATCTGAATTTTTGCACAAAAGTTATTGGTCTAGACCTTCATCAAATGGTATACAAATCTCGAAAAAATATTTCCTGTCTCTTTAATGTCACCAAACCTCAAGAGTGACCCTTTTACATTTTGCTATGAAATTTGTGATCTATACTAAAGACATAAACGTATGTTTATGTTCCGAAATATCTCAGAAAAGTGTACAGCAATACAAGTATTAGTACAGGCAGTCAAACCTGTGATCAAAGGCCACTAAAAGGAAAGAGCAAACATGACCTTTATAGACAAGTTGTCTTTATTGGTGGGTCACTCTGTTCTATTAAACCAATAAACGGTTGTTGAAAAATTGTCTTTACTGACATGGTGTTGTTTATTTAGATGTGGTCTTTAACACTGTTTGTATTTTCTGATCGCAGATCAGTAAATACAAAGCTAACATCCACGGTCTAACACAAAATTTCCTAATAGACCTAACAACGCAAAGTAGTTCTCACTCAAAACTGCTTAAAAACCAGCAATTCTTTTGTAATAGATATTACGGAGAAACCCAGAATTATGTATTTACCCCGCTAGGTAACCGACATTTAGTTTATACGCAATGTTTAGTATAGTATGTATATTTACCCCGCTAGGTTACAAGTTTATACTTAGTTCACATACACTGTTTAGTATAGATACTTGAATACTAGTTTCAACGAAGAAATAAGTAAAGTCACTCTTATACAACATTACCACCCTGTCAAATAGCAAGATTTATTACAGGGACATCGTACTTATCAATTAACGTTTTTACGCTTGTTCTAACATTGATTGATAAATCTTTCCATTTTTGCTGACACCTGGATTTCTCTGATAGTTCATGCTTATCAAATATTGGCCTTCATAAGTAATCTATCATTTCTGAATGACAAGCCTTTCTCCTTTTACTTTTCATTTAGAATGACAATTTTCATTTAATTTTGTGGTTAACTTCGAAGTTTTTACATTCTTATAATAGAAACACCACAATTCATTAAAGCTTGATTGATCGATCCCTCTCTCGTGTCTTTTTTGCTTATAACATTGTCATATCCAGTGATCCTTTTTGTTTTCCGTTTATACAGTAACATTTTCATTTCTTTTATCTTAAAATGATATTCACGCTCAAAGCAGCATGCCTCCATATTCTACAAGAAAGATTTAAAAATGTATCTGAAAATGAAATATTGTGAAGTGAACAAAGAAAATATTTTACACATTGCAAGCAGCACTTGCAACCTAACTTAATTAATTACCCAAATATGTCAAAGTAAGCGAAAATAGCCCTTACTGTGTTACTAACGCGTATATAGAAATATGGTGATAAATACTGCAAAATCATTCCATTATCCCATATAACATGTTGATTATTTCTTTAATCTTAAATATATTTTACTTTTCTTAAAATCCTAGTACTTTTTTCTCAAGTTTAATTCTCTTGAAATTATTTGGCTCATCTTGAGGCATGCAGCTTTAAAAAAAAATATCTCAGCCTTTTTCCCGTATTCATTTTTCACAGCGGCATGGCCAAAAGTAGAATTTCCAATCGGACACAAAAAATGTACGAACTGTTTTGATGTGTGGATGTTGATGAAGGAAGGGGTCAACATATTGGTTCTACTATCATAACACACGTTTTCGCATGTCTTTATGCGAACATCAAACAAACGTCGCTCAGTCTTTTACATTTCATCAATAAAACCTATTTGTATAGAAGAGGTAAAGGTCACTGTCTTGGGGATTTTTTGTGTGTATATACCTCCGCTAACAATACTGGCGAATTGACCACATGAGGGTCGGAATGACTTCTCATCTATATTAATGTCTCTCTTTATTTTAGTCCTATTATATTGTATAGTAGTTAGGTTATTATGAAATTTATTACTTGGACATAACAAGTGCCATAACTTGTCATTTTATTCAACTGGTCCATCCTTATACAGCATCCGACGCACTTAAATAACTTTCCGTATTTATCAAGAAAGCGGTAAGTTGACGGTAATCTACTCCAGCTTATTAAAGCAACCGCAGCCGCCTTTTGACATAATCGTATTACATATAGTTCAGAAAATGAACCGCGGTTAACGTACGTAAAATATTAACATGTAAATTGCTGGGAAACATTTCGTTTAAAATATGGGGAAACATTTCGTTTAAAATATGGTGAAAAATATACTTATATAAATAATGTAGAATAAAAGACATAATAGTAATGAACGTTAACCTTATTTTGATATAGATTTCATTATACTGCATGCAAATGGCACTTGAAATATATCAACATGTTTATCAATCAGATTTTGATTAACCAGCTATGTATATTCTTTCGTTAAGTGTGGCAAAGTTTAGTTCTGTCGAGTGTTAAATTTTTGTAATACGTAAAGTCACTTAATTAAGTAGCTTATGTCCATGCAAGTTTAAAACAATGGCGAATTTTTCATACACAACTATCGGGATAAAGGTTAGCACAACATCACAAAAAAAAGTTTCCAAATGTGTTTTACGTTATTTAAAAGCTCGTTATTTTAACAAAATGGATTAGATCTTAAATTAGAAAAGACATTTACTTCTGTATCATACATCATTACTTTGACAGTAATAATTAAACTACCTACGGAAAGTTATTACGGTTGTATTATTAATGCTATCTGGGCGTTTGTGATTTTAAGTCTTAAAACATTTTGTCATATACTGACATACTTTTTTCATTATTTTTTGCGCATTGTAATCAATCATAATTTTCTTATGATATATTTTTTTTAAAAGTCCGTTGTGTGGAAGGATCCATTTCAGTGGATGTTTTACAAGGAGTTTGTTTATATTTTGTCCTTTTGATTTGCATAAAAATTGGAAGACCGCCTTGTATGAAAAACAATCTGAAGTATTATTTTGGTATAGCAATGTGAAAGAAATCAATATATCTAAAAGAACTGATTTCGTGCATCGTTGCTATTATGTTGTTGTTGTTTTTTGTTGTTGTTTGTTGTTGATGGTTTTTGTTTTTGGTTGTTGTTGTTGTTGTTTTATTTGTTTTTGTTGGTTTATTCGAGTTAAATTTTATTATTTTGATCAGTGCATCATATTTTATTGGCCATCTCTCAAATAAAAGTCGAAACAGAATTATTTCAATAGTTGTCACGGTACATTTTAACATTCACATTTAAAATCTACTACCCAATCAGATCTTTACAATTCCAACTTTGATAGATCAAATACAAGGATTTTTTTCAGAATATCTGCCAAGATGAAGCAATTTAATCAAAGAAAAATATTTTATATTATTTTGATATGACAGACTATCAGAAGATATTAATTTTAAATTTGAAAGGGACTGCATGTATAGCAACTATAAGTATTTTCAAATATCAAATTTGAAAATAATATTTCTTAAATAGAAAATCCTATACATGACATTAAAAACGCATGCCTATGTTATTCTTTGGCATTCAGAAAGATCTCTTTCATTCGCGATCTTTTTGTGGGCGGCATAATGTTGCGCAGTATCTTATCGCGCGCTTAAGAAAAACAAAAATTTACAATACTGTTGAAAAGTTATTGTAAAAGTTTAAAAATAGAAACAGAAACTATGTTTTCATAAATCAGTCATAATTGTCCCGATTTTAAAAATAAAAAAGAAAAATGTGTAAAATTGCTAAACATTGACATAATACTCGTATTATTCGAGTTTAGACTACAACGAAGCTTAATATGTGTAGTAAACTGCAGTAAAGCAATCAAACAAGTAAGTACTAAATCATCTTCGATGTTAATCTAATGTTATACATGTTTATTTCAAGTTGGAGAAGGTGTTTCACTGGGCCTTGGTGGAGATTTTATGATGGATACAACATTTGGAGAACTTCCTAACCCCCTGTTAACCATGGCAACTAATAATCAACCATCTTCTCTTACGTCATCGCAAACGTCGACCACGAACACGGCACAATCGTCAGGTATTTATTTAGCCAAGAGTTTTAAATACACGGAAATGCTGCAGGTTTTCGTTTAGCATAATGGAATATCTAGCAAACTGTCATACAAATATGACATTTACTAATGAAAGCATAGAATGAACACAATTTTTCTGCAAGTTTAAAAGCAGATTCAAATTGCATATTTTCTTCTGTAATAAGGGAAACGTTGTGACATTTGCCTTCATTAAAAACAACAAAAACATACTTGACATTTTGCTTTCATTTTCATTTAAATATTTTAAATAACAACCCTAAACATGCAAAGTTTTGATAATTACGATTTTATTTAAACTTGATATATTGCTGCTTGTATTTTCAGTTTGAAACGATAAATAATACTGTTTACAATTTATTTTTTATAGACATATATCGTAAATTTCTTTGTAAAATGCATAAAGTATCTAACTTTATAAAGACAATTTTATGTAATATCATTAATCATATTGCAAAAACATTTTTGACAGAGCAATATTAACAAGACATTGTTGTTTTCAATTTAAAAAAAAAGATAATAAAAAGAACATGAAACAATCACTTGAAAAGGACAAAATGCGTAAAAAAAGAACCCACTTTTTTCATTAAAAACATAGAATCATAATTATAAAATAGTGTGTACATTGTACTATTTCCATTTTCGGGTCCTGTCAAAAATGATTTTTGTATTAGTTTACAAGTGACTTTTATGGAACCATTATACATGTAACTTGAATGCATTTGGGTAATTCTCCTACTTATTGCAGTTTTTATTGTCATTTTATAAGGTACACAACAGGCATTTTATCGCTTAGGCTTTTTTATAATCACTTGTCGTGCGTGGAAGTCCTTGTACCGTGAAATCTATGTTTTAAGTATATACATATAATCTTATAACAATGATCTAAAAATAGTTACTAATCAAGGCAAGTGTTGCAATGGTGACTTATTTCGTCTACATCAGGTTGACTGTTAAATGTGATTATAGGTAAATGTTGTAGCCATAACAAACCTGTACCAGTTTTTTTTAAAACACAATTTGGGATCTTGTATTGTGTTGTTAAATGTTTTACGCACAAAATAACGAAATATTTTGTTATCTACGTTACTAACCTATTCCAATTAGTACACTAGATTGCGGGTCATACTTATTCGAATATTTGTTGTTTAAGTACACCTGAATATACTAAATGCTTTTCACTTACAAATACATTGTTGTTTTACAAATTAGTACTTGTGTCAATGTATTTTTGTTACTAATGCTAAGACTCATTTTGTAACTATGGAAACATGGATTTGTTGAAAAAATGTTCTATTAAATGTACCTTTGCAATACATTTGATCCATTTCATTTGAGTATAATTCTTTTTTTATCTTTGTTAAGGCAAATCTATATAATCCACTTGTCCATTTAGTTAATTCGATGTGAGTTCAATACTTATTGCTAGTTTTAATTATAGCTCATCAATCTTAAATTTAATATTAAGTAATGAAAAAATCATTGATAAAAAGCATGTCAGAAACATTTATTACTCAAATGAAACAATATTGAATTTTATTAAGTATTGACCTGCTAGGTACATCCATCATTAGTAACACATTAATCAACCGGTTCATCGTGCTTTACTGTATATTAATTTGAACAAACAAAAAATGGCACGACATCTACAAAAAGATATTTTATAAATATTTGAGGTTGAGTTGGATATAAAGAATTTAAAGTTTTGTAAGGATCAAAGGTTCCTCATGCAAGCCTTGTCCGGTCATCACAGTCACGCCATCTCTCTCTACAACAAGGTTCTTAAAATGTTACACAGAAAAAATGTCATATTATTCAGAAAATATAAACTGTATACATTGTATATATAAACTATATCAGGAATGACTTTTTTATATTTGCATATTGTATATAAATAAATATATATTATTATATATGTCAGTGATTTATATAATAAACCAGTTTTATAACATTTGTGTATTCACTCAATAATAAGAGTATAATATTCTAACAGGTCACTTTATCATATGCATGAATCGATCATTGAGTTACTTTTCCCATTTAAAGCTTGTGTAAATTCGGTTAATTTCGTCAAATAATGGTATATTTCGCTACTTTCGTATCTCATATCTTTTTATAGATATTTTGACAGCAGAGTTTATTATTTCTAAAGTGAAATAAATCGTCTTGACGAGCTTATGGATTTATGTATTATCTCTATTTAAGTAATACGAAGGGGAAAAAACTTTAAATAAAAGTATACATTATTAGATCTATGATTTTTTTATCTTAAATTAAAAAAGCTATCAATTTTAATGCAAACGGAAATCAAATAGCAATTCTGAAAACAATAACATTTGTTCTCCTTTAGAAATGATCATTTAAACTTTTAGTAACCCTATAAATCATACAGATAAAAATGTATTTTAGTATTAAGAAAATTCAAAATATATTTTAGATTATTAATGGATAACCCCATTTCTTCAACAACAAAAAATAGTTAACTACTATCAAGATTTTTACCTGCTGAAAAACCTAGGTTCATGTAATACACAGTTTTGTTGTTGCTTGTGAAGCTTTAATCTGTATATGCAAAGCTTTAATCGGTTAATACTTTGAGGTTGCGCAAAGCTTTCTGTCAGGCTTTTGTATAAATGTGTATGTTCCAGGTGGCGGTTTTAATATCCACCGCTTTCCCGTGCTTGGTACCAACACCGCACACGATATGTTTCCGATTGACGCATCACGCATCGCAGGTGTGGCTAATGGTCAGACAATATATCTACCAGGATTTTTCGGCAATCAGTTATATTCTGGATCTCCTGTTGTTATTCCAGCTCATACCACATCCTCTACCTCATCCACTGATCCTAATCAAAAGTACATGCTGCAAAATGAGGACTTCACTGCTCTTGGTAATGTTGGACATCATGTTCGAGTTCCAATCCCAAATAATCCACCTACAATTGACTTGTCTTCGAGTTCAGGTTCGTCTGCTGCACATACACCATCTCTTGATGGAACAATAACTATTGATCCGACGGATATCATCGGTGTTGCAGATATGAATCAAATTGGTCCTGACGGTAACCCTTCTTTCTTTAGCTTCAATCCTGGTACTGGACATGCATCTGAAATTTCAGCTTTGCAGTCTGCTCTACAAGGTACAGCCGTAGACATGAGTAGCTTTTTACCTCCTCCATTTGATACTCCATCTTCCATTACAAATATGTTTCCTTCTAGTTCCGGCACAAGCTCAAGTACATCATCCACGTCAAGCACGCAAGAAAGTACAAATTTTGATATAATGTTAGAAGCCGGACCGTCTTCAATGACATTTGCAAATAATTCCGCTATAGATTTTCATGGAACAGGAACAACTTCAGGCAGAGATTACCCTTCTGAATTTAATTCTGCTGGAAGCAATACGAATCGTGATTCAATATTTTCTACCATGACATCAAGCCAGAATACACAAACAACAAATGAACAAACAATGTATGACACACTTATTGATACCGGAAGTAGCAAACCAACGACACAAGGAAAGTCTACAATTGGAAGTGGTAGTCAATTTGAAAATACTTTTAATAACAACATCATTGGTATGCCGTCAATATTTATTACTAGCAAACCGACAGTGTCTGGGCTTCCAAAAAGTATTTCGGGGGGAGTAAATATCAGTGAACAATCAATGACGACTTCAAATGAACAATCGATGCTAAGTACAAGCGCGTTGACAGGAGGAGACCGGATAAACACAAACACACAGTCAACAGGAAATATGAATGAACAATCAATGTTTGGGACTAATTCTAATACCAAAGTCATTAACTCTAATGAACGGGGAATGTTTGATTCGAGTGTTAATTCAATAAACTTAAATTCAAATAAACAATCACTGATGGATACAAGTGGAAATTCAAAAAGCATTAACTCAAATGATCAATCAATGTTTGGAGTCGGTACCACAGGAGGTTTAAGTTCAAACATACAATCAAATCAGAATGTAAATGAGCAATCTATGTTTAGCACAGGAAACAGTATAAGTGGTATGAATTCAAACGAGCATTCAATGTTTGGTACAATCAGTCCAACATTAGGCATTGGTGCAAGGGTTGGATTGAACAGCAACAATAACGAGCAATCAATGTTCGGTACAGGACAATTTATAGATAGCAGTAGTACAAATATGCATTCCTTGAATGGTCAAACAATTCCAGATACAGCTAGAACAACAATAGGCATTAATTCAATAGGAGAACCAACTGTAAGCATCAGTGCAATCTTAAATCAGGACAACAAAGCGAATAATATCGGTGCAAATCATGAGTTAAAAACGACAATACCAAATACTGTAAATATGAATTCGAAAGATACCGTATTTAATACTGCAGGAAATACAAAAAGTCCATCTACATTTACGACTGGAATTACCAACACCATTAACAAACAATCGCAGACAATTGTCGGAAATAGGGCCAAAGATACATCTAGCCAAACAGACACATTTACAAGTGGTCAGAATAGCAAATATTCATTGATGGACGGCCAAACAATCGGGAGAATTACCCTTCCGTCAATTAATAACGATATTCAGTCTAGTATCAAGGAAAATAATTTTCAGAGCACCAATAAGATATCGACGGTACAGACAGATATACATCCGCCAAGTATCATTCCAAAAACGGTAATAACAAATGACCAAAACCTATCTGCAAATGAACCTTCTTTCGTCAACGTTGATTCCAGGATTGGTATAAGAACCGGCTCTTCAGACACTGGAAGCTCTATAAACGGACTGTTAGGCACTGTTAATAGTGACGGAGGTTCAAGTTTAAGCAGTTTTAATAATGTTAATACGGGGTCTCAATTAGGTGGCGGGGAGAAATCGTATTTAGTTTCAGGTACAGGGTTTAATACGGCCACAGATACATTACTTGGTTCACCTAGAGTAGATTCAATTCAATCTATTAGCGATAGAACAGCAAACATTTTAGGAGTCTCTGACACAGTTGTTGATAATACATTAAGTAATATTAATGATCAGCAGCTGTCCTTGCCGTTAGTCGACCCTATGTTTTCTGTTGCTGATTCAAATATAGCGACTGTAACAGATACGGCAAATCAAAACGAATCTCATTTGAATGAGCTTAACACATCAGGTATATATCCTTTTGAGGGCAGTCTTACTGCAATGGATGCTACGCTGAGCGAAGGTATACCAGCTACTTTGGATATGAGTAGTGTTTTACATGGTAGAGAGCCTCTCCATTTGGAGCCTCCTATAAATATTATGGGAGAGGTCGTTTCTGACAAATCAAAAATTAAAACATCTGCTAGCAGTACTGGTATTTTTGCTGTTGTTGGTGGTTCTGGTGCAGACTCTGTTAATCCAAAGGGAGCTTTACATCTTAATTCTGGTGGGGGAACATCTCTTAGCTCGACATCAAATTTGAGTTCGAGTGATCGTACATCATCAATTATGAAAAATGACCATACAAGTTCTGGTGTATCATTTGTAAATGGTGGTAGCAATGCTAACACGTTGGCGATAGACAAGGTTAATCAATATGTTGGTCTTGAATCTTTCAAGAACAAGCAGAAATCTTCGAAAGAAAACCTTGAAAGTAATACGGTGGGAATTGACAATCTAAGCTCTGCTGGTGTAAAAGTATCAAAAATGACTAATAACAATAACAGACTAACAACAAATGAGCAGAAAATAACTGAAGCTTCTAACTTATCTAATAAGCATAATAAAGAGCTTTCGGTTTTGGGAAATAATTATAACATTAATACATTTAATACAGTTGACGCATCATCTAATATGGTAAATAACAAAGAAAATACTATTACAGATGGGGTTGGTATAAGTATGTCCGGTTTCAGTGGTGCTCCTTTAACTAACATGGCTGGTGCTTTTACCGGAACATCAAGAGGTGGCCTGACTGTGAATGCGAATGCTATCAATGATCCGTCGTTATCATTAACATCGGACACAACAGAGTTAAGTTCAAGCTCAATTCAAGAATCTTCAAGCGTGTCTGGCAGTAGTGACTTTCCTAGTGGAAGCTTTGTAATTGGAGCGGGTCAACCAAACTCTAAAATAATAAATGCAGGCAGTTTAGAGTCGTCATCAACATTTAACTCAAATGTAGGTGGTATTGCATTGGGATCTGAAATGACTGGCCAGAATTCAAATATTCAAAGTATATCTTTGCCTGACAGTGCTTTTAAATCTAATGAAATGATAAATTTTGACCGAATACAGCCCAGAACAGAAACTCCGAAACTTGTTAAAGTAGACATGACATCTTTCATTCCACCTCCATATGAAGACCCAGCAAGCACCATCTCTTTAAACACTCAAGATAGAACTGTATTAAAGGAAAGTGTAAGACCTCAGACAATTAACTCAGTTACGCTATCAGAAAAACAAAATAGGCTCGATCAAACACGAAACAAATTTAATCAAGTTTCCTTGGAAGTGCCACAAAACTCTTTACATATACAGGATAATCTTTTAAGCCAAGGGAATTTTAACACAGAAAGAATTAGTAATGCAGCATTACTAAATAGAATTGGCAACTTGCACAATCAAGTAACTTCTAGTGATGGTTCCACAATTGTACGTCAATTCAATGAACATGTAAAAAATGATGAAGCAGCTAGAAATATGGGCATATCTGGTAGTTCATTGGTTAATACATTAAATTCTTCTGGGGAGCAATCAAACTTTGTTAGATCGACCGAACATTTCGGTAAGCCAGTAAGGCCAACATTTTTAGCAGAAAATTCTCATAGGCAACACAATGCAAAAATCTCATCTTTTAACTCTCAATCGGCTCTTCCCTCAATTGTTGTTGATCGAGCAATCTTCACCGATTTGGGTAAAGATACTAATATGAGAGCAAACGAGGTCGCTGTTGCACTTGATATTCACAGCGCTGCAAACCAGGGCTCAGGGCGCCTGTCGCCTGAACAATTTACATCTCAACCAATTGTTGGATCAATTTTCGGCACTGTCGAAAATTCTTCATCAAATTCTTTGACTCAAAGGTTTCTTGAAAAATCAGGCATTACTCGAGAGCCTGCTGTAGATTTTATGACAACGTTCCTACAGCATTCTAAGCCAACTCGAACTCTGAATCGTGGAAATAAAAGCTTACAAATTGTTCCTCTTGGTTCAGACATGTCCAATTTTAGTCCTAACACAGACAAAATAATCATTGCAGGTCGTCAAAATGATGCACAAACCGTTGATAAATTTGGAGTCGCAGATATCTACACTAGGAAACAACAGCTAAATCCAAGACAGTGGCAACAATTAATGGCAAAGGTTTCACATGAGCCAAATTCTAAACAAAACGGAATAAATGTAGGTTATCTGACACAAAATGTTATAGGTACAGGTGAGACCAAGCCGTTAACGGGTAAAATCAATCAAGGATCAATTATATCTAGAAGAGGAATGTCCGGTTTTACAAGTAACACAAACACCAGAAATGTTGACAAGACTAACCAAAATCTAAGACTTCCTTTGGCAAGGAAAAACAACCTCAGATCAGCCACTTTATTTGAAGCTCCAGGAATGACTGGTCACAAGTCTGTTACAATAAGAAATTATGTCCCTCGTTCTTCAAGACAACACTCAGCTAGACGTACTATCAATTCGAGGGTAAATGGCGTGAACGATATTGGGCAACAAAGCCTCCAAGAGTTTGTAGGGACACAGGCCACTGCAGAGAAAACCTCGTCTTTTGCTAATACTTTCAGACAAAAGCAGAAGACTGGTATCGAAGGCGTTCCTGTTTTAAATCGAAATGGAATTTCTGTCAACTCGGTTTCTCTTCCACTGAAAGATCGTCTGAGTACTGATCCACAGACACAGTCAAACGGTCAGCTTGGGGAAGCAGGTAAAAAAATCCAAAATGAAATGAATACATTTAAGCTTGGAAGATCTATTCTTATTTCCGATGGGGTTATCCCTGAATTTACCGGACCTAATTCAGTGCAACGTCTTCCAATTGACACAAATGATTTACGAACTTTGTCTGCAAATGGTATGCGTCTAGGAGAGCCTTCCGTTTTGTCAAGTGCAGGTTCTTTGACAAGAGAACAGATCAGCAACCAGCAGGCAATGACTGAATCAGCACAATCATCCACTGGATCAATTGATCTTCAAGGTAAGTTTGACCGAATTGGCAGAGTAGGATCACTTAACAATGTTAACAATCGACAATTTAATCTTGGATCACTTGATTCGGAAATGACCAGTATTCTTCAATCAAGAATGAATAATGCCGGTACAAGACAGTCTAACAGTCACCAGACAGCAACTGGATCTCTTTCATCGGGTTTAGCAAATAATCGTCCTGTCAGCTTAGAGTCAATCGAAACACAATTGAGAAACAATCAACTTAATGGAATAAGAACACCTGCTTCACTTAATTCAGATATGTCAAACAATCGTATGTCTTCCTTGGGATCTTTAGAAAGAAATAGAAATAATCAATTAAATTTAAGAACTATAGATTCCCAATTGCTGAACAATCGTCCTTCTAGACTTGGCTCACTAGACTCGCAAATTCTGAGCAATAGACAATCTGCAGATATGCAATCTGATTCACGAAAGTCATCTACAGGTGAAATAACCCTGCAAGATATTCAAGGTTCTGCAGTTGCAAGAGGAATGGGCTCAAACAGGCAAGGTGCCTTATTATCAAAACGTCTAGGTATAGCAATAGGCGGAAATCGAAATAGTGATTTAGGTGGTAATTTGGTACAAGGCAAACGAAATACTGGTCAAGGGCAGCAAAATATGGGAATTGCAATCAATGGGAATATTAATAATGCATTCAGCATGAATACTGACCAATTTTCCAACACTGCAACAGGTTCAATAGAAAGTGGTCAAACATTTCAGGACATAAGTTCAAACTCTGGCCGGACAGGTATGTCAGCGACAAATATTGAACAGAGAAACTTAGACACTGCAACAATTCTAGGTCTTAACAGCGCTCTTAAGAAACAACCAATGGAAGCTACATTATTTACCTCTGGTAGTAGATTTGCTGTATTTGGTCGTGCTGGTGATGTGAACGGTAAATCTCTTGGAGCGTCGATGCAGGCCAAACCGGTACCAGCACGTAGAATGGGGGTATTGGGGCCCATCCATGACTGTCGATTTAAACCCGATCCAACAAGCGAATACTATTTTGTATATAAAGACGGAATAAACCAACACCGATTTAGATGTGCTCTTGGCAGTGCCTTCGATGAGATGACATGCGAATGTTCAATTCGAGTATCTGATCACGGTAAATATATTAATAAATGAGTTTCTTTAACACTTTTCCTAAGCGTTTTCCACATTATTGACGACTTTTTTATCATTAAAGATCCTGTATGTTTTGTAATTGAGATTGCATATTTTTCTTAATGCGTTTATTTAAGGTCGCCGCCGGAAAGCCCATATGGGCGACCGTACACTCAAGTCGGGCCATCCTAGAGCGTCCCGCCGAGATTTTTTCGTCGATTTTTTTTCCAGCTTTATTGGTGGAGGAAGACCCCAGGTGCCCCTTCGGGCATTATTTCAGGCACGAGCGGGCACCTGGGTAGAACCACCGACCTTCCGTAAGCCAGCTGGATGGCTTCCTCACATGAAAGATTTCGACCCGGGTGAGGATCGAACCTACAGCGGTGAGGGACCTGTGATCTCAAGTCAGCGACCTTAACCACTCGGCCACGGAGGCCCCTGAGATTGCATACCACTCTTCATTGAACTATATATGTATGTAATTATGCAAATTTGTCAATTTTCAAACATGGAAGAATATGTAAAATATGTATTGCAAATATTTGTACATATTTAAGGTAATCATTAAATTATATGCATTCATTTCTTATTGGAAAAATTGACTTAGAATTTATAGAAAACTAAATTCTAATTACCTCCCTTTATTAACATTAAATATTAAATTCGGTAATATCTTTATAAATAATGTTTTTTGAAACTTACAATATCGATAAATCTTAATTTGAGCATCATAATTTGTATATAAAACCATAAAAATAATGTGTTACAGGATCTTTAAACAATCACATTTTAATAAAAGTAAAGGCAACCATGTATGATATAAAGATATCTTCTAATGAACAATTAACATTTGATATGAAGAGTTTATTTTGCTCATTTTCTTTCATTTAGGAGATTGTCTTGAGGTTCACATGGACTTTAATAATGGAGTTGTTGAGGACTCCTCTTTAAACCGATTACCAATAGGTAATGAAAATGTTGAAATAACAAATACTACAAGTGCAATTGCGGGAATTGCTTTATTTGGAGGAGACGGCAAACTAACAATCTGGAGATACCAAAATTATGATTTCAGGTAAACAGAAATATTAAATACTTTTACAACCTATAGCTTCTTTTAAATCTACATTTTTACAAAGCAAATTTGATATTTTTTTATACGTTAGATGTGGTCTTGAAAGATAAGAGTACCTACTAACTAATTATATTTGTATTACAACGAGTTATATATATTTACTTAGGGATCATATGATGTTGAAAGTACAATTTCGACCCGGTGTTGGGGGCGACAGATTACAACCACTTATCAGTAACTGTGATTTAAATACGCCGTCTGTAGCAATAATATACGACAATGTGTTGAACGAAGTTATACTCATGCTACAAACTGTAAACGATACTGGGAAAGAATTAAGATTCAAAGTTAATGTAAGTATGTTATATGCTATTAGTTATACATGTATATATTATAGTCAAGTGAACCTTGCTAATGTTGAAACCTCGCCACTGTTTCATTTCTTCAACTATATTACACATCTATTTGTAGACCTTTCAATGTGGCGCTTTTAAATGCCATATAAAATCAAACATATAACATCGTATATATTGAAAAAGCCATATTGGTGAAAATGAGATTAAGAGTTTGAATGAGTTTAATTAAGAGTTATTAAAAGTAATGAATGATAATGCGAGAAAAAATCGTTCATGAATAAAATTAATAGTCTATGGTATCAGTTATGAAATGGATAGTGAGACCTTAAATCAATATGTTTATGTACAGTTAAGTATTTATCAATTAAAAATATTCTCTTTTACTGAACAAAATCGGGGAGAGGAAAGTAATACTAATAATTACTGTGTACCGTTATTACATTCTTTAATGGAAAAACGTATAACCAGATATATAAAATAAAAAAAATTTGAACACATTTTAATACGTCGAGTCCATGCCAACTTTTAACATACCGGGCAGCTCGTGGACTGTGTGTATTGCCAATCCTCCTATAGCGCCTTTGCAATAATTTATTGACGTTACTAACTTTCCGTCCATTTGCCGATTCTCTTTCGCCTTTCCCTGTATGTGAGTTCGAGTTTGCTGTCTTCTAATCATTTTCGCCAGCTGAAAACGAGTGACAAGTGACCGATTCAATGCCGTCCACCCCTTCTTTATTCAATCTTCACGTATGTAGCTGAACGATTACCCCCCCCCCCCCACTCGCGAGGCAAATTTTAACGATCTCTCGATTTTATGCTACTGACTACTACCGTTCAAAATGTGTTACGTTTGCCACTTAATGTTCTAATGACGTCAAATTTCTGAACTATGTCACTCAAATATCAAGACGTTTTCGTGCATTTTATTTTATTCAACATTTGTTTATATTAAAACGTTGTATGAACATTTCGGCGTATGTCGATGTTGCATTGCAATGGTTAGTTAAGTGCACATAGTTCGTGAAGTAAACAAAGGTTTACCACAAAAGTAAAAATCACTTAAGAAATAAAAATACCCTCCTAACGATTACATTAGCAAATATTGTTTTCATAAAAAATGAGGAAAACGAAATCAGAAATTATAAAACTTTGTAGTGAGAATTTAAATAAATCTTAGCGTGACATTATCATAATTGCTTGGCAATTGTTTAAGGTATCATTTAAAATATATTTCCAAATAAAAAGTAACATTAAAATCGACTTAAACAATCACTAGAGTGTCTTCATATACACTTTAAGTAGCCGTCTACCAAATAATACATCGATAAATAATTTATTACATATAGTTACTTCAACAATAAAATTATCTATTCCAAAATAGCCAGATGAGTGGAATGATGTCACGTATATTTACGACGGTCAGGAGTTTATTGGTATAGTAAATGGAGTTAGAAGATATGTTTCTAGAGAAAATCCTCATCTACTTGGTATCATAGGAGGGGAGATTAAATCTACGCCAGCACAAGGTAAGTTGGCCTTATTGATACAGTAACACAAAGGGAAACGGAAAGATCTATTGCCAGCATTGGAAACAGAAATATGATCGGTAGAAATTGCAGACTAATTTCTACCTTGATTGAATTACTCATGGCACATAATGAAAAGTGAAACATTTTATCCTCTTTTTTACCAAGTAAAGCTAGTTAAAGCGGCCTTCAGCTTTTCTAAGGTTAAATATGTTGTCTTTAGATAAACTGTTTCATATAAATGTAACTGGCAAATCAAATGATTGAAGGTATAGAATGAAATAGAAAACCACTCGATACCTCTAATCTACCTGTCGTTTATAAGTAAAGCGGACGATTCGTTTTCAGATCTTCTGTTATTAGAAACGCCCTCTATAAATAGCTCTTGTGACGCTGTTTGGAGAAGGCTTACCAGTACTATGATGCATTTTCCAAGATAAAATCACTGATATATATAGTTTGAAAAAAAACAGATTTTTTTTCAAAACAAAAAAAGCTAGAGGTCGTTTTTACTGTAATCACTGTAGTCCTGTATGATCAGCTTAATACAACAACATCCGTCAAAAGTCCGGATGAAAATTTAAACAAACAGTTAAAACAATCATATTTATAATCATACAACATTTAATGGTGACATTCTATACATGTTGCTAAATGTTCTTTGTCAAGTTGTACACCTAATGAATTGTATCATTTTCAATTCAACCGTGTTGTATAATGAATTGTTCTCTTTATTTATTATAATTTTCGTTGTTTTTGCTCTTCGTATAATTTATTCTTATTTATTTAGTAAATATACATTCCTTAAAGCAGTGCTAGGGGCGAGAAAGATGTTGCACCGATATTGTTTATTTAAGAAAATCTACCAAACCGAGTATGCCAAAAACAAAAATACCCATTGCTTATTCAAAGGACATGTCTTTGATGTTCATTTGTAATTTTGTTGTGATTAATGCTTCCAAGGGATCACTTTGTTTCCAGATTTTTTTTGACAGAATCATTTTAAATATTTGAATAATTTTTCGGTTTTCCATTCTTGTCTACACAACAATAACATTAACAATATTTCTCTATCTGAATAAATATTTTGCTTTCCTTTTGACAACTTAAGATACAATTTCACGTCTCTTAACATGTTTTCTTTTAACACTTTGTCATGAAACATATGCACAAGTTAAAAAGACCTACGAATACTTTTTGTCTGTTCGTTCGAAATATGAAATGAAAAGTTTGAGTATTTCAGAAATTCAGATGTATGAAAAAAATGACATTATTCATTTGGTTTGTTACAAATAAGCACTACGCCTAAACATAAATACAGTTGATATATGCAAATACAGATGTGCAAAATGAAATATTCACATGGTTTGTAAACACAGTATGATTTAGATAAAGTATGAATGCAAAAACATGCAAACTCGTGAAAAATTCATCACCAGTTTTGAGATATAATTTAATGAATAATGTTAAAGGTGTAGATTTGATATGCATTTGTAGTTTTGCCGCAATTGCATTTAATTGAATATAGAGTTGAGATTGATTGATTGATTGATTTTTCGATGACAGTTTTTGTTTCGTTTTTCTAAAACCGAAAAATCTGAAAATACTAAAAACTCAAGTATTAAAACGATTAATTAAACTTTTACAAACTTTTATTTTTAGGTCATGATTTGGCGTAAAGGTATTCCACTGAGGTCAATAGATTTGAAAATCTTTCATAAGTTAATATGTCATTAAAACTTATAAATGTGAACAACAGTATGTCATAGCAATAATATATGCAGCTGCGGGGTATTTTTCAATAATCCGAAATCGTCAACGTAAAATGCAAATTATCATGATAATGCCTGAAGTCAGTACATGCAACTTTGTTCCTGTAGTAGTCCATAGTATGTAGTTCACATAAATGACAGTACTTAGATATTTTGTGACATGATGGGGCTAGCGTTTCCGTTTACTGGACTATAACCGTTATACGTGCGCTCGTAATATGAAAAACTACTCAAAAGATATATACTTAGTTACCAGCAGTACTTGATTTAGTATTTGATTTATATACGACTTTTGGGCCGATTTGAGTATAAAGTGTTGCAACCTTCTCAATTAGGGGTCAATTTGCAGAATAAAATTAATTTATCCATGGGAAACGGAATGAGAGAATATGATCTGAAATTTAGTACAGATCTATATCAAGTTACAGATCTATATCAAGTTACAGATCTATATCAAGTTATACACAAATCTTAAGAAAGTATTTTCTGTCCGGTCATGTCAAAAAATACATGGTAGAGTGCCTTTAAACCATGTAAATTAATATTTACAATGCATAAAACGCTTCCTAAAGTAATAAGCGTACCTAATACGACGTAAAACTTTAAAAAATAAGTATCCAGACATTAATATGTATATTGTTTATACGTGACATTGAAGATAACTAGAGCAAATACTTAGACAAAGTCTGCCGACTAACTATAATTTAATTATATAAATGAGATGAAAAACTAATATGAATATGTCAGTGAAATTAAACAGCTAATAGCATAACATCCCTTATACATAACACCCACACAAAACAACTCCTGGATAGTTAAATTGACATTTAAATATAACAGACCCGCCTATGCAGACTGACAGGTTTTGAGTGAAAAAATAAACTGTGTCTGCGAAATAACATCCTTGGTCAGTTTTAAGACGGATGATAATAAATATGAGACAAAGTGTCACGATAAAACTTTGAAGTTTGTATGATGCGAGGATATAAATATTAAATCTTATTATGTGTACTTTTTTATCATCGAAATAATTTTACTTGTTTATTGGCTAGCATATAGGTAAATGTCAGTCAGTCACAATGAATCTTATATCTAACTTAAGGTTAGGACATTTTTATTCGTAAACAATATGTAAAATGTGAGTAAATCAAGGTTTGATATAGTTTAATATCATATACTGTGGTTAACATTCAGGAAAATGTAAGCAATGCAACAGTGTTTTGACATTTTAAAATTAAAGCGATAATAACTTTTATACACTAAAAAAGGAAACACTTCTTTAACATGAACGAGTGCAATCGTGGATATGCATGGGTAAATGCCTGATTGATGTCTATCTGTCTGTCTGTCTGTCTGTCTGTCTGTATATGATAAATAACAGTATACTTTTATTTTTCAAGAACCTATTTTGGGTAACATTGCTGAACTTCTTGTTTCTTGTAGGCTTGATAGAAATCCGAGATGCTGCCCTCGAGTTGGGACACTGTCCAATGTACGGAAATTACCGTGGAGCTATGGTTGACGTAAGTTTTCATACACGAGTTACTCGTAACTAGCTTCCCATATTGCATCTACTCTTTTGTTCTGATTATTTTTTTATATTAACCTCATTAAAACTTTTCGTACACAGCTGGTCTGACAATATTGTTTTACCTGTTCAATAGGCGACTTTCCAATGAATAATGATAAGTTGATAATAATAATAATAATTTTATAATAATAATAATAATTGTATTCGGTAAAAGTGTACATGACATGGCAATGACATAATGATGCATAATGATACAATACATATAACAATAATCAAAATATTAAAGAGACTAGAAATATCACATGACATAAGTATACGACAAAATATAAATATATGAGCCATGTAGTGCCCACCAATACCAGGGATAACACAAAAAAGAGGAAAGGATTCCTCTTATTTCCATTGTGGTCCCTGACATTGGAGGCATGACACAGAAAGTCATGTTAATTTGTATGAAATTGAAATAAATTCTTTTACTAATAAGGCATAAATTGCAATAATTTAGTTGAGATCACAATATATCACAGTCCAAGTTTGTATCACATTAAAATCACAGTTAGTCACATCAATGAATCATGAAATAGTGCATCACAGAAATTGTCAGTCAAACTGTAAAAAATTAATAAAAATATTATAAGACGTTAAAGGTGCAAGCTAAAAATGGGTAAATTACTAAAGGACACAACATATGTGTGTTGTGCTTAAACTTAAGAATAAGTAAAATCTGGGACTCTATTAAGACAATTAAAAGATTCAAATACTATTGAAAAAAAACTAAAATTAACTGGCCATTAAATGGGCTTTGATGGCATGCTTGAAGGTGTGGGAAGATTGAATATTTCTAAGATTTTGAGGAAGGCCGTTCCATAGTGAAATACCATTAAAAGCAAAAGATTTTCTACCAAAGCTTCCTACCTTTGGTAAAGAAAATCGTCCTGTGTCACTAAAAGAATAGCTTACACAGGAATCTGATGATGAAAGTGCAGACACTCTGGACCTGGTACAGCGGTCATGGACCTGATTAAGGGGTACAAAATGCTCCTTAAGGTATTTTGGTGCTGTGTCAGACTTTATTTTATGGACATGGCAAAGAGTTATCTGATCAACTCTTTTGGAGACCGGTAACCAGTTAAGAACCTTAAATTGCTCTGGCCCAACATGTGACCTGCTGTCCTTATTCAAAACAAAACGAACCAATTTATTCTGGGTTGTTTGGAGCCTTTTCTTCCAATACTGAGTCAAACTTGGGTACCAAAAAGAACAAACATAATCAAAATGGCATTGAATTAAGGACATGACCAAGAGTTTCCTAGTGTGGAGATCCAAGAATTGACTTGTCCTATACAAGTATTACAGCCGGGCATTTGCTTTCGTAACCACTGACCGTGCGATTACTTCACAGTTACTATACAAAAAATGCTTAAAACAATAGCTAATACAGTTTTTCTGTATGTTGACATCTGTGCATTTATGTTATATTATGTAATTAGGACATATACGAAATAAGGTCAATATGTTTTGATATTAATTATCTGTCTGCTCCTAAAATATATAACCCAATTAAATCAATATTTAAGGGGAAGAAAATGTCTCAAAATGTCAATTAGTAGCTACAAGTGGTCGACCTTAAATATATGATATACGAGGATATAAACAAAATATCACAAATGTCTATTTTATAAGATCATTAATATTAAATAATTATCTATCCCACACACATGAAGACCACAATGACCCGCACTAGACAGACAACCTGGCTGGAGCCTATTTTGTGTACAGATATAAGATTAGCTAACTTCTGTTGTCAGTTATTAATTGTGTTATATGATATATATCTATAATAAATACCTTTGGTTTATTCATGAAACTTAAAGTCATCGTTAACACCGCTGATATTTTATGATATGTAATGCTCAAATCTGATATTTGAAGAAAATAAGAACAACTGGTAAATAATAAACATCTTTTGAATAAACATAGAGAAGATGTATGTTTTATGTTTTACATACTACATGTAATTTCGGTATGAGTACAGAATTTCATTTAAAAAAACTGGCAGTTTTTATAAGAATAGACCAAATTAATTTGACAAGTGATAGGGAATGCAGCTTCCCAGATAGTGTTTATACATTTTATTAAATACATGTCTTGCAAATTGTAAACCCGTAATGAACACGAACTACTTCAAAAATATTTTATAGATATTTTCATTAAAAATCATTTCATTCAAAGATATCAGGTACAGTATTTATGTTTACAACATGCATTGTTGTTTAGACCATTATATTACAATATAATATATTATGAAGATAATTGAATCACATGCATAGACATAGTTTTGAGTTAAATGAAAATTGAATGAGTTATTTTAAAGGTCATTCATAATGCCGAATTTCGAAAATTATTAAAGCAAATGATATCCAAGACTACGTTTACGTTCTTGTTATTAAAATGTGGAATTACTGATATAGTATCATAGTAAATATACATTTAGTACAAACGATTTGATTTTCTTTTTCAGATTCAAGTCTATACGTGTATTCCTAAAGATTTCCGACTAGAATAAAAGACATTCACAATACCTTATCATCGAAGAACTACACTATAACTATGGCTTACTTTATAAATACAATGATATTCCTGGCCAAAACCAGGACTATTACGAGTAAAACAAACAGAAGAACAAAATTACTCCAAGTAGTAAAGCATCATATCTACTGACCAAAATTTCATCTGAAATGAAGACGACGATGTCAGAACAATATGAGTGTATCGGACGCCTGGTGAAGAATTGCTATTATTTTTATATAAAAAACAACTAAATATAAAATATGGATCTCATTAATAGGTAGATCTACAAAACAAATTTAGCATAGGCAATGTATCTTAAGAATATCTGCCTGCACTGAGAAATATAAAAGCGAACATAGAGAAATAAACATTTAGAAATTTAGAAATAAATAGAGAAATAAAAATAGAGAAATATAGTTATTAACATTGTGAAAAACATTGAGAGAAAAGCATTGGATAATCAAGAAATAAATGTTGTGAAAAAGAAACATTGAATAACTTAGGTACAAGTACTTACATTGAGAAAAAAACATTGAAGAAGATAGAAATAAATGTTGAAACGAGGGGATGGGGACTAAAATAATAGGAATTTATATTATAAACATTTTGGTGGAAGATTCTTCCTCGTATTATTTATATATTTCGAGAAAAACATTTGCCATTATGTACAGACACAAATCGCATGAAATGTACATAATTTGTCTCATGTAATTGTTCATGACATATATATAATTATATAATTATGTAATAAAACATTTGTTTAAATGTAGTTTTGCTGTGCATGAGTTACATATTTTTAAGCATTTTACAAAGTGTATGCCTGAAAAAAATGTTGGAAAATTGATGACCTCTAGGAAGATGTGAAACAAAAAAGTATATGAAAATTGCAGACTCGAGTCTGACCGTGAGAGATAATGTCTCACGCCCACTAGCACCGTCTTAGGTGGTTTTCAACCTTCAAAAGTAACATGCTGGAACTAATGGTCTCGATGAACCAGAAAGAATAAAGCAACACAGAAGTAAAGGACGGGATACTTTTTATAGCAGTCACACAACACTTGACACATTCTGCTATTTAGTTAACTCCCTAAAAACATAAAACATACCAAAAATAGAGAAACAAAGACCATCTTTAAATTCATTTGAACATGTGAACATTTTTAAGCAGTTTGCTAATTTGATAGTATTTGATTTATTCCAATGTATCAATCTGACTAAAGTTCAGATGCACTTATTCCTTTTATGTAGATCTGATGACGACCGTATATGTCTCGCCTCCTTTATAAGTCGGATTTCCCGATAAAACTATTTTAGCCATGCAGTCAAACCGGTTTGTACATAGACATTAGAAAAAATACCAAAATACCGTTATCCGTGAAAATATTGTTGATTTTTGTTAGAAAAAATTATTTGAAGTAATTTTTAACAAATTAACTTGAGATAATAGAGTCAATTTTTAATGGGCAAGATTTGTTTTGCCAGATCAACTGTCGGCTATATGGACAACGCCATGTTTGTCATTACCTACTCAGTATTGGTTTTCCCAGGATTAAAATTACAAAACTACATTACTTTCAAAATTATAAAAGCTAGCCGATGATTGGCTGTGTGAAATGTCACCAGAAATGATTTCGTATTGGGTCACGGTCAGATCTAAAAGCGGAGCGTTAATTGGAGCTGATTTTAATCAGATTGCTCCAATCAAATACATAAAAGAATTCAGTAGGTAAGGAAGTTAGATGCTTGTTTAGAAATTCTCTCCTTCATTAGAATCATCTAACATGAATGAAAACATTCACATATAACGTATGCTTGCAATTTGTTTGAAATCAATAATTTTCAATAAATCAAAAAGATAGTAAGACGGCATCTAAAGCATTTAGAAAACATAACTTTTTTCGTTGAACTACACTATGTAGATGTACATAAAGTAGAAAAAAAAACATAATCCCTAAAGAAAGCACAAGACCTCAAAATTGAAAATGTGGCATGTCTTGAAAAATGACTGAGTAAAGCATATAATAAGTGTGAATTGGAAACATCTTGGTTTAATTCAAGAGAAATGTATGTTTTTCTTTTATGCTTTTCGATGGATTTCTGATTTATCCGTGAAAATTATATTTGATGATTTCACAGTGAAAATTATCAAAATATAATTTCACACTTTTCAATGATGATACTACTTTTTAAGATTTTCCCCATGTGGTACTTCAGTTTTATTAATGTTAACAATTCTGACATTGTCAGGGCTGTTTAGAGAAAAGCAAAGCTGAAATTGATAAATAACTGAAATTCTAAAAGTAATAAAAAGAAGAAAACTCACTTCAATTCATTAAAATTACCAATCATTATATACATGAAATGTCGTCTCTAATTTTTTGTTTCATTTTTACAGTCTGAAATTCCTTCCACATGCAAAACTGCTCTTGATGACATTTGGACATATTTAAGTATCCTACGAGCAATAACTGCCTAATAACTTAAAAAGCAATGACAGACATCAGCCCAAAGAATAAGTAAACAACCCAGCGTTCGTAAAGCAGCCTTTCAAAAATTCCATGTTTTCCAATTTCATAGCCGCTTTTTAAATGTTTACACATCTGTCAACACTTATTTATATTATATATTGTAACAATCCTCAAATAAGATTTCTTTCTTCTTAAAAGATGTATAACTAACAAATCCATATGATATCCCTCTGAATCAAACAGAATTATTTTCCTCCCATAAAATACACAACTTTTAAAAATGGCGACTGCTTACATTTTACAGTGCCAAGTCTAATATAAATTCGCCGTAAGTAACAGAAATATGGTTTGACTTTTTCTCCTACTAGAATTGTTTGTTTTTAAAATTAAAACAAACGATCATTCATATAATTTGAATAAAAATGAATAATATCATCGCCATTTAACGTTGATTGTCGAACTTTTTTTTCAGCCCAAGACTTCTTGTATTTTATGAGAAATTCGATTTTACCTGTGGGGAAAACATATTTTAATATTAAAGTTAATATCAAGGACATTTCGTTTAACTTGTTTTTAAGCATAAAATAAAAAGAAAATTTGTTTGTTTGTTGTGTAAGATGAAATTTTATTTTATCGAGTGAGCTTTAAAAACAGTATTCTCACGAGTGGCGTAGCAAACAAATATCCTCTATATAATCTGATCAAAACTAATCTGTCTTACATGTTATGCTATTCAATATATGCATCTAAAGAAAAGTAAGTTTCTAATAAGCTTATCAAACTTTGGGGTAGTTTTTAATTATGTAGTACTGATTGTGTAATATGTCTGAAATACTGTGTACTGTCAATTTGCCCGTATAAAATCTTTAAATAAAAATGTTATATTAAAAGTTCTTTTATATAATGAATTGCTAAAAATAGTATTTAATGTCACTTCCGAAATGCCTTTTTGAGAGCACGTGTCAATATAGCTGACCTATTTCCTTGTTCTACTCACCCATTGATCTTTTTACAAGTGTTTTGAAGAAGGCGTCTATAACAAACTGTCAATTTAAGTACCAAGCTAGGTTACGTTTATCATAAAATCTGTCTAAACTTCTTTTATGTTATATTTGATAGCACGTATTTAGATCACTTCATTTAACTTTCGTGTGTTAAATAAAACTTGAATTATTACATGCTCTGTATCTGTGAAATGTTCATTGTAAAAATTACAGACATGACCGAATTTCAAAACTAACCCTAACCTACCGCGGGCTGAAAACTGTTGAGTAAACTTTTAAATAACTGATATAGGTATCTCTGTCCAAACAGTCTTGGTAGCATTTAACATTTTTACGTTTCATAATGTCCGAAATAATCTGAAAACTTATCAAATTAATCATGTTTAACACAAGTATTTTGAATGTAAATTTTCAAAGGTACTGACTTGTGGTCTTTACATGTAACATTTCTGTAACGCCTATTCTTCTCTTGTTTTGAATCCCCATCCCCTATCACCATAACTCTCCTAAAAAAGACATAACATGCAAATTGTATTCTTTAAAATATATTTTTAACAGTCTTTAATTTGCTCAAGGTACATTTTTGAGAGTTAAAGGGGCGTGGGTGGTAGTACCATGGATGAACAGGCCCAGTGAAAAGGAGCCTAAAAATGTTCAATATTGCCGTTTTTTGTGAATAAGTTTAGAAATTCTTGTTTTAAAACAAATTGATCATATCAAAGAGTACTATACGATCTAACTTTTCAATTATCAAGCTAACTTTTAAAACCTTGTCAAATGTTTGTGTACAATCAGCCTACAAAAGAAAGACGACTAAAATCTTTCTTATAAAAAAGCGTAACCCTGTCAAGAAAACAGGTCAAAGACAGTATGGCCGAAAATATTTTCTATTACCAGTATCTCATAACGAACTATGCAGTCGTTATATTCACTATTTTTTCGTTTGCTGTACTTTTATTACTCATTTCACTTTTTATAAGTGTAACAATTAGACGTGTTGTAATACGTGTTGTTATCAAGAAATTTACAAAAGTCTTTGACCTCCTTTTAATATGTTTAAAGTAATGTATACGAAATAAATGTTGTTTAAATCAACGATCCATCCTCTATTTACTCATGTAAAGCTTTATCACATACCCGTGCTTTTTTGCGACTCTTTAAAAACGGTATTGCACGGTCGTACATATGACATTGTTTTGACGTGGCGTCATGTGCGTAATAGGAGTACAAACATAATTGTAAAGACGTGCTAAATGTTAGTATTATACTATAGGAACGTCAGTGAAATAGTCGTTTATTTTTACCATTAACAGTTCTTATTTTGGATATGTGATGACTAGAATATTATAATAGGCTCGCATAATATAATTCGTTCAACGAATTCAGTATTGAACCACTTATTCAATATCCTCTATTTACATGATTTTCGCAGCTTATTTAGATCTAATCCGGAATAAAAACCAGCACAGATAACGTTCATAATGTCCTGATTATACGATCGTTTATATCAAGTTTACAGGATTAAAATCCTTTGTTCCAAACAGGACCTCTGAACCTTTGATTGCGTTATAAATATGTCATTGTAATTGGCCACTTTACGAGGTACAGTGAGTATACAAATTACTTTATTGCATCGACATATAACGCATAATGAAGACTTGCTGGTGAATTTATTGCAATGATTACTATATGTATATCTGGTCGTAGGCAAATGAGGTACGAATGGTTGAATACAGTATGAATAACAGCGGCTTTATATGTGGGTGAGATGGATAGCTGCTTGGTCAACACTTCATACCGTCCTCCCATCCTGACCAAAGTAATTAATATTCACGTGCTGTACTGTTATTAAACAAAGTGATAAATATTCCCCTAAATGGTTTATACATGTCATCTCACTGCGATTGACCAATGTTTGAAGTTTCATTGAATTCCAACAATTAATTTTCAAGTTATGCACTGGACAATACAAAGTAACAAAGGGTAAATCTCTTAAATCAGTCAAGAAAGAGTTATGGTTTATGTGTATTGCGCTTCCTCTCAATATATTTGACTATTGTATGAAATTGTATTGAATTCCAATGCCCTGCAACAAGGAATAGTGATAAAAGGCAATCACTCTATAATTACTCTGGATAGAGTTATGGTTCTTGTGGACTGCACCTTCTCTTATTGTGCTTGACCATTGTATGAAGATGCATTGTATTCAAACCATTAATTTTCAAGTTACGCTCTGGACAAGGAAAAGTATCAAAGGGCAATAACTCTGTAATTAGTCAGAATGGGGTTGGGTTCTTGTGCACTGCACTTTCTCTCAATGTGCTTGACGATTGTATGAAGTTGTATTGAATTTCAACTAGTAGTTTTCAAGTTATGCCCCGGACAAAGAAAAGTAACAAAGGGCAATAACTCTGTAATTAATCAAGATGGAGTTATGGTTCTTGTGCTTTGCACTTTCTCTCAATGTGACTGACAATTGTATGAAGTTGTATTGAATTCCAACCATTAGTCTTCAAGTTATGCCCGGACAAAAAAGCAATGGAAAAGTAACACAGGGCAATAACTCCGTAATTACTTTAGATAGAGTTATGGTTAGTGTGCACTGCACTTCCTGTTATTGTGCTTGACCATTTTATGAAGTTGTTATAGATTCCAACAAGTAGATTTCAAGTTATGCCCCAAACCAGGGAAAGTAACAAAGGGCAATAATTCTGTAGTTAGTCAAAATGAAGTTGTGGTTCTTGTGCACTGCACTTTCTCTCAATGTCCTTGACCATTGTTTGAAGTTGTATTGAATTCCAACCTTTATTCTTCAAGTTATGCTCCGGACAAGGAAAATGCAATGGACCACTGGACCGACCAACCGACCACCGGGTGACTCCTATATACCCCCTAAACTTAGTTTTCGGTGGTATAATAAGTAATTACATGCTCTATAACTTTTATTTAAACATTTTTAACTCGTATTAACCATTTCTTGATAAGAAAAAAAATATTGGTTTTTGAGGCATAATCTGCTTTTAAACGCAAATGTTTGACGAATATGGATAGTTATTTTAACTATGAATTCATGTGATTCATCAAACACTAAGCAATTTTTTTTAATTTATCTAACTTTACAGGAATGTATACAATCAAATCATGTATTTTTGCTTAGTTGATAACGAAAGTCTACATTTTTGCATCCATTCCTGTTAGCAAATGTTAAATTCCTATATGATCCATTCGCATTTTAAGTTAAACCATTACAAATATAACAAGAATATTTCTTTTAAAAAAAATTCAAAAAAATGACTTTGATACTACTTTCAAGTATTGTTACGTTACATCTTGGAACTTTGTTTCATTAAGAAATGACACATAATCAACATAGTAAAATACAGAAAAAACAAAATCCCTCAAGAAAGCTCAACACGTCAAAACTGGAAAATTAACAATTTTAGCATTAAAATCACCGCAGATTAACTCTTTATATCGTGTTAATGTTTTCCTTATATATTTGCTTCTTGTAAAATTGAGGTTTTTCTGGAGGTTGATATTATAAAACCAACAGCACATTCTTTTCAATATAAATAAAACACACACAAGCATTACACCATATTCAAATATATCACATATCATTTGAACATGTCTTATAAGCTATTGCTAGTATCAATAAAGACCATGTACCTGCCTCTTACGACAAAGTCTTTAGCGTAACATGCGAAATAGTGAATCTTTCAAAAATAAGCAGTTATCGTCGCAGGAAAATAATCGTATTGTAACCAATGTCCATGGGGTTTGTTCCGTTTACAATTCAGTAGCATTAACATAAACATCTTGTCGGTTAACATAATTGTACAAATTTCCTGTTTGTTTGTTTCTGTATGTTGTCTGCTAGATAGATTTGTCTCATTCGTTAACAATTAACCATTTTGGAAATATTCACGTAATCGGTCTTCTTTCAATCTTTTAATTGTGACTTTGACGGCTATTTTGATTTTAGAAAGCGCACTTTGCACACCTCATCGGGCCACTATGATATCGTTGCAAGTTCAATGTTATGTAACGGAGGTCTGTTTATGTCGATGGTCCATTCTTAATGTCATCTTTTGTCCAGAGTAAGAAATTTTTGCTTTAGTCAGTGCGGTTCATGGCAAAATTGACATTACACCACTGTTTCATATTCTTACAAAACGAAAGAATTAAAAAAGGGACAGAACTTGGAAATTACAGTCTACCACAATTCTGTTTAATGTCACAGTCTTTCAAAGTACTGCCATGCACTATTATACTTGATTGCTGTTTTATTTATTTATTGACGTGATAGATCTATACATTATCGCATAATTAGGTTATTGATAGGAATGCTAATTGTAAGCAACAATTTATAATGTTGGCTTTTAAAAGATTTGATTATCTAATTTTAATTTTTTGTAATGTAATGGATTGAAGTGCTGATATTTTCATATATAATGTAATTTCAAGTTCAAATTTGCAAATAATCTAGGTCTATCAGGAAGGATACAAGATACGCATGTACAAGATCAAGATGATGACTCGATCTTCAAGAATACGCGGGGTGCCTTCGCTTTTGTCAAGATCTCTATTTTATAATGGCATTGAACAGCTGTTATTTTTCCGAAAGGGGAACATTCAAAACTTTATACTTCCAACATATGTGTATTTTAATGACGTTAACTGCTCTCAGTTTCACGAAACCTGCGGTAGATGTACTCTTACGCTGAGGGGCATCTATCGACAGTGTCACTATATCCACAAGTAAGTAAGTATGAAGAGATGTGCCCGAGATCCTCAAGTCTCATTTGGATAATTACAAATCGTTTTTCCTTATAAATGTATGTGACTTTTCGGACATTTAAATGTATTTTGTAAGAACGGACAATCTGTCAGAATGTGCATAAGTTATCAAAAAAGTGTTTTATTATATAATTAATTCAAAACTGAAAGGGTGACTACAATGTTTATGTAAAGAACATTATTGAATTCACTTCAAAACACATCACACCACTACTACTACCAATAACAATGCGAAAAATAGGTTAGGCAGATCAATGCCACAACCTATAAAAATGAAAATATAACTACAAGTTATCATATGTCTTGTTAGCGCAGTAGGTAGAGAAACCGTGTCAGTAATGTGTTTTACCCTTACAGGCAGAAGTTCGACTACTGGTAAGACACTTCTTTTTTACCTCAGAAAACAGTCAATTGTTCAGAAAGTTTGACCGGTTTTTTCATATACATGTACATACATGAATATGAGATCGAATATTTTATTACACTGCGGTATAAAAAATACAAAAAGAAAATAGGTATAAATGTTTATCATAAAACTATTTGATATTTGGCCAACAAAACCTCTAATTCTAAAAAAGTCATACTTCAATGAGAAAAATATTATTTGTTTTCCTTTATTTGGAATTAATAGAACGCAAATACAGGTACATAAAACAAGGTAGCGGTTAATACGAGGATAGCATCATTCGTTTGTACACGTCTCAATGTATCAGAATAACTCCTTATCTCAGTTGTGGTCTACCAAACCGAACATTTGTCCGGGGGATTCATGTAAGAACCGATCGGGCAATTCCAGGCTTTCGAAAACTCCACTGAATTTTGTAGAGGTCCTACCACTCTGAAAAATAAATTAAATGAGCCGCATCACGACAAAACCAACATAGTGCGTTTGCGACAATTATGGATCCAGACCAGCCTGCGCATCCGCGCAGTCTGATCAGGATCCATGCTGTTCGCTATCAGTTTCTCTACTTGTAATAGAGTTGGTAAGCGAACATTAATTAATCAATCATTGCTGAGTAATGAAGGGAATTGCCTGCATACTAAGGGCACAGTCAAGTGATGATCAATAAGAGTCCTGACAAGTCACTGATCTTTTTAAGTTGCAAGAGTTCGCTGTACAATTAAGTTATTTATAAATTGTACAATTAAGTTATTTATAAATAAATAATATACATTCTCGTATATATGTTCAATAAATGTAAAATAAAGTTTTCATTTAATGTTACTATATGGTGTTATATTTCTTCTAATAAAAGTTTTGCGTTTAAGAATCTACTTAAATCTCTTTATTTTTCATTACAAATTTGAGCTATATACATGTGCATGTATAAGGACTAAGTATATTTTATTTCATTGACTGAAAATGCAAAGTATGTTCCTAACATTTGTAGTGAATATTCATATAGCATTTGCAAATAGTTGTACCTGAACATGAAATAACTGTGAGGGTCCGTATGAATTTGTTTAATTTTTTGTTCATTCCTCATGTCACCACACCAAATCTAAGGAAGGCAATAAACATTTCTGTAATCATACTACATCGTTTGTATGAAATACGAACAAATAGGAGTGCTGATTCAGTTGTTAAGGTATCTTCTTAGCCTTATAGATACAACAGAGAAAACACTGAATCCATAAAGAACACCCAAAAACAACAAAATAAAAATTGTTGCAGGCTCGGTTTAATTGCGCCTGTTCATGGACGGCAGTGGTAGTTGCAAGCTACGTCCACGCCCCCTAGCACCGGCTTAAGCAGTAATCAACATTTAAACATAAAAATGAAGAAGTTTTGAATTTAGATGTGTCTGCATATGTGTTCATACGGCGGTTATCAGGTAGTCAGGGACATATTTCCTCTGACAACACCACTATAGGTTTGATCCAGGTAACGTACTCCAGATTAGTTCAGATAAGCTACAAGCTGTCATCACGTCTGAGTTAAATAAAAAAAATTGTTTAAAATAAGTACAGGGAATCAAACTTTTGTCATTTATTCCAACTTTTATAGATATATAAAGATTACATATAAAGATTACAAATAAAACAAAATAACTGAAATATAAGATGATGAATACAAAAATTTAATTATAAATAAATAATAATATGTATTTTTCTTTATGAAAAAACTTCTCACCTGCGCTTCATTCAGAAAAAATAATTGGTTAGGTGAATAATCTAACCCAGGTAGTTTCTGCTCTTCTACACCTTGCCGGCTTCTTCTTACCCAATTACGATATGCCTGATTTAGAAAAAAAGCAGAATATAGTTTAACATAGCTGTAATATTTGGTACTTTGTATAGACAATAGTCTATAATATTATAATGACATCTAAGTCATTGTATAAACAACTAACACAAAGTATGTCTTGACTGTTTAGTTTACTAATTCCAAGTGCGCTGTAGCTGCATACATTTAGGCGGGAATACATGTTACAGAGAATCATGGGAAGTATAGACTTGCTATAGTGATAACATAAATGAATTACAAGTACATAATTCTACATCACCTTTGTTTTGAAAATTAAAAATATTGAATTATTATGTATGCCTAAAATTTTCTTAACTTATAAAGTTAGATAAATCATAAACAATAAAATGAAATTATTAAGAAGACAGAGTCATTATAATTATGAAGATGTTAACAAGTATAAGGGTCTACACTTTTATAATGAAATAAAATACATATGATATAAACATTCTCAAAAATAAAATATCGGTCAAGTTTAGTTTATACTGATCGAATGCTTTTCATTTTTCCGAATTCTCACACATTTTTCTGATAAATAATTACTTTATCTCATAAGATCAATTTACACTTGCCACATGGGGTTGCTGAGGTATTTGTTTGGGATAACATTGCGACCTGACCTTGTGGTGTAGAGATTAACTGATTTTTTCTACTGGTAAACTTTTATCAAGAACTTTGTGAGGTTACTTGTGGGGAAAAATTGACCAGTTTATCCGAATCATTTAAACACTGGAAGATTTTTCAAGGGGTAAATAGGGGTCATTTCTGATCTTTAGTTTTATGTAAGAATTTTCTGTTTCGGCGGTAAATACCACCGTCATTAGTTCTTACAACATATAATCTGTCAGCCTGTTTTGTCAACTACTGTCCCTTTTTTCCATTGTTTTGTCAAACTGTACTCTGACTGTGTCACCCTGTCGTCAATGACTTTAAAGGTTTTGGCTGTCTGTCATAGTACTTCTTTTTGTACATTATGTTCTTGTTTAAGTTTCATACGTACATCGTTTATGTCAATTTTCTGTGGCATAAGTTGCTCACTGTTAATGGGCAAAACTGTCCGTAGTCGTCTGCTCATTAATAATTGTGATGGAGATTTACCACATTTCAAGGGGGGTGTTCTGTATTCTAAAATACTCATGTAAGGGTCTGTCTTACTGTCTTTGGCTTTTCTAAATAGCCGTTTTATTGTTTGGACTGTTTTCTCTACAAGTCCATTACTTTGATTGTAAAGTGGACTGCTTTGTCACATGACTGAAATTCCAGTCACTTTCAAATGACTTAACGTCTCACTTACATAATAAGGAGCATTGTCTGATATCAACTTTTCAGGTATGCCATACCTTGAAAAGATAACCTTGTGTTTTCTAATTATAGAAACACTTTTGCTGCTAGTCAGTAGGTCAACTTCAAAGTATCTACTGAAATAGTCAACTGTGACTAAATAGTCATCATTTTCCCATGTGAACATGTCTGTGGCGCCCACTACCTGCCATGGTCTGTCGGGGATAGGGTGACTTTTTAAAGGCTCTTTAGTGTTTGAATGTCTGTGTTTCAAACAAATATCACATTTCAGTACATAGTCGGTAATGTCTGAACTCATTTTCGGCCAAAACATTATATCACGGGCTCGTTGTAAGCATTTATCAACGCCTGGCCTACATGAACAGCCTTTATCATTTCCTGTCTAAGTGAAAGAGGTATGAGTAATTTCTGACTTCTGAAAATTAGGTCTTTTCCCACGGACAATTCATCTCTGTGATTCCAGAAATCTATGATTTTGGCGGGACAATTTGCTCTTGATTCCGGCCAACCACTTAAAATTGTATCTGTTAGCAACTGACATTGTGAATCATTGCTAATTGCTTGCTTGACCTGTTCTAATTTTGGTCGCTCACAGTTATGCTTGATAGCACTGTGTGAATATGTAGGTCAAGATCTGCTGATAATTCAGGATATGTTGCTGACAAAGATTTTCGAGACAAGAGGTCTCCTACAGGGATATCTTTGCCTGGGACATGGACAATATTCAAATCATATTTTTGCAACTGTAACAACATTCGTTGTAACCTTGGACTTGCATTGCATAATGATTTTTTCCAAATAGATGAGATAGGCTTGTGATCAGATTCTACAGTAATTACTTTACCGTAAATATACTGATGAAAACGCTTGCATGCAAAAAACTATACTTAACATTTCTTTCTCAATTTGGGCATAGTTTATTTTCAGCTTTTTGTCAGGGTTTTTGAAGCATAGGCTACGGGCTTTCCGTCCTGGAACAAAAACACTACCTACCCCAGCCATCGAAGCATCACATTTATAGTAATTGGCTTCGTATGATCAAAGTATGCAAGAACTGGGGCAGATGACAGAATAGTTTTGACTTCCTGAAATGCCTTTTTTTTGTGCATCTTTCCACTCAAATTCTACATCTTTCTTAAGTAATGCACGCATAGGGGCTGTGACCGTAGCTAATTTTGATGAAAATTTTGACATGTATGTGCACATTCCTAAGTATGTTTGTAGCTCAGCCTTATTATTGGGCGGTTGCATTTCAGTGATAGCACTGATCTTTTGAGGATCGGGCTTCACACCAGTTTCAGATAGAATATGACCAAAATAGGATACTTGTGTAACTCCAATTACACATTTGTCAGGATTGAATTTAACACCACATGTTTGTGCACGTTTCAAGACCTGTCTCAAATTTGAGTCATGCTCGTCCTTTGTCTGTCCGTATACCAAAATGCCGTCAACGATTCCAGTATCGCCTAGTAATCTTTCGAAGGCTTCGTCAAGTTTCTGTTGAAATATGTCCTGTGAACATATAAGTCCAAAAGGTAATCGTTTACAACGATACCTACCAAATGGTGTGTTAAAGGTTGTGTAATATGATGAAGTTTCATCCAATTTCACGCTCCAATAACCACTCGTGGCGTCAAGTACTGAGAAATACTTTGCACCTGCTAGTTGCGAAGTAACTTCTTCGAAAGTTCCCATAGGGTAATGAGGTCTGTACAGGGCTTCATTTAGTGCCTTGGGATCTAGACATACCCTAAGTTTTTTAGTTTTGGGTTTCTCTACAATCACTAGATTGTTAATCCATTCAGTTGGATTTTTGACCTTGTCAATTATTTCCAGCTTTTCCATCCGATCAAGTTCCTCTCGTAATTTCTCTTTTAATGCGACAGGAACCCGTCGTGGTGGGTTTACGACTGGTATAAAGTCGGGCTTCAAATGTAATTTAACTTCACCTGACATTAAACCAATACCATCAAATACAGGTTTAAATTCATTGAGAATAGAGGGCTTGTAGCCAGACTCAGGAGATATTTCCTGGCTATCTAATGAGTAAACAATCTTGATTAAATTTAGGTCAGTGGATGCCTGGAGGGATAACAGGGGTGAGGATGTAGTTTCTACAACATAAAATGTAATAGGCATAGTGACTTGTTCACAGGTTACTTTTAACCTTATTGTACATTTGACCTTAAGGCGGTTGCCAGTATATGACGAAAGCTTTGCACTTGAGGGTTCTAAGGGGTACTTAATACCCAGGTGTTTGAATTTTGATTCTGGCAAGATATTGACCTGACTTCCTGTGTCAATTTTAAATAAGATGTTGGTACAATTTGGACCTATGCTTAAAGTGGCAAATGCTTGATCTTTTTGAGATAAAGAATTATTTACCGTATTTACATAGAAATCAACATCAGAATTTTCGGAACTATCATAATCCGTATTTGCCTCAATGTCATGCACTGTTTTTGAACGGCATACACTCTTGAAATGATTTAATTTTCCACATTTGTCACATTTTTTCCCTTTTGCTGGGCACTCTCTGTCATTATGTTCATAACCACATTTGTCACATTTTTTACCACTGACTGCCTACTTCTTGGGTTTTCCATTTCTAGACTGCTTCTGTCTACTTTTACCAACTTCTGCACGTGCGGCTGGTGCACGGTGTCTGTACTCACGTCTGTTTGTTACAGCATGTACGTCATCGCGGCTCATTTCTTTCATTTGCTCCCCGGAGTAATCATAATTTTGACAGATTTGAATAGCTTTTTCTAAGGTTAAGTCCTTTCCTTGATTTATTAATTTCTCTCTAATTTTGTTCGAATTTGTCCCAAATACAATCCTGTCACGTAAAATTTCATTTAAATTTGGGAAATCACAATCTTTTGCTTTAAGTCTTAATCTTGTTACAAATGAGTCTATTGATTCGTCTTTTTGGATTTCGTTGAAGAACTGGTATCTGGCAAAAATTGGATTAAGAGTTGGTCTCAGATAATTTCTAAATTTTTCATAGAATGTATCTAGCTTCTTTGCATTTTCCTCCGTTATGTCTGTCCAAGAATGACGTATGTCACGACCTTTATCACCAAGCCACAAAAGTAGGTATGACACTTTTTCCTTTTCTGGTTTGTCTGCTAGAGGTCCACTAAATACTAAATTTGCATGTCGTACAAATTTTTCAAATGCCTCTGGTAAATTGGTGTCATCCCATCTCATAGATGGCGGTACAATTCCTTCCATTTTTCTTTCTTTTTTTTTGTTTATTAATTAGTCCATAATTAATTATCCATCATAACAAATATTGAACAGCATTTAATCCAATATATATTAAAACATAGTATTGTTTATGTCCAAATTACTTCTGACACCATGTAATATTTGGTACTTTGTATAGACAATAGTCTATAATATTATAATGACATCTAAGTCATTGTATAAACAACTAACACAAAGTGTGTCTTGACTGTTTAATTTACTAATTTCAAGTGCGCTGTAGCTGCATACATTTAGGCGGGAATACATGTTACAGAGAATCATGGGAAGTATAGACTTGCTATAGTGATAACATAAATGAATTACAAGTACATAATTCTACAATAGCATTGTCGGATCATATTCGTTGTAACAGTTTCGTTTACAGTCCTGTTTGCAAATAGGATCGTATTCGTAAAAGGTAACATGTGTTACAAATGATTTGTGTTGATACATGTTAAAGGCTATTTAAGCAATAAGATCATCTTAAATACTACTTCATTAAATCATTTAATCTCCTTTTTAAAACAATAATGGTTTGCATGAATTTTACTCTTAGATCGGGAATGTTTAATAAGAATTTAACCTTAGCGTCCATACAGGGCGGAAATACTTTTGGATATACAAATCAAATGTAGAAATCACAGTTAATCCCCGGGCGTGTGTGGGATTCTTCCAAATGGCTCGTGCATATAATACGAATCTTATACCGGCTGTCAGTACAGACACGATTATTTAACTGTTTACATGGTAACAAGGCTCTTAAAAAAGACTACTACATGTATATTTATACAGCACTGATTCATGTATGATTTGTTTCCATTTCCGGGAACTAGACTTTAGTTCGATTACTAGCACGTAAGTACTTTCTGTATAGCACAAGAATGAATGTAAATTGTCAGCACTGGTATAACAGGAAAAATGAAGGGGTGTAACCTTAAACAAATATTTGTCGGGAGTCTGTCTAAGTGAAAATTAAATTTCAAAACATGTTTTCAAATTGATTCTTTGTATACCTGCAGTAATAACCCCTTAAATCTCCGAAGGACATAATATTATAACTTTTATACATTTGTATATATATTTTTATTTGTTTTATACCTTAAAGCTTTCTTTGCTTCCGCCATTATCTGCAATATTTTCTCCAGCCGTAAGTTCTCCATTAATCTAAATAATGTAAATTAGACAATATAAAAACAACAAAACAAGAAGTGATTATTCAATATAACACAGAGTCATTTCCTATTATGGACTGCTTTAAAGGAAAACAACCAACGAAATATTTGCAAGATTGGGTAAGTAACTATATTTATAATTGTTTTTTATATTTATATCTTGCAGAAATGTTATCATTGATATCTCATGTAAATGTTTTATGTTATAAAATCATCGTAGAAGATATAGCTCTTGTAATAAGGGCGTTAAATAGTTAAATGATATCCTTATTAATGTTGATGGAGTCAGTAGAGTTAGATGCTTTATTATCCTCGAATAGTGGAACAATTTAGTAACTTTCAGCTTATTGTTTTGTTTCTATATTGACTATGAATCATCCATATGTAAATAAGCAGACAACTTAATGAGGTTTGTTCTAAAAATTCGCATAACAGTTCCATTATGAAATATATAACGAATTATTTGCATTTTTTCAGAAAAAAATGTATATACTATCGAAATGATTAAATAATTCTGAAAATTCGTCAATACTATTTTTTTCATTTGTTTTGTACGTAAAACGTGTTCTAATCAATATACAACTAGCACCTAGTATGATTTTCCATATCGTTGGCGGTGTACTTGGTACTTTTTATTTAACATAACATGAAGACATCATACATCAGCGTGTTACAAACATTCTTGAAATGCGAACGGATCCGGTACGCTGAGTACCAGCTATTAATCAAAGACGAAAAGGATGTTAGTTAGTCTGCCTCTAAATTGAGTGAAAATTTCATAGAAAACACTAACGTCGAAATGGCACGGTAACTTGTGTCGATAACTCTTCACTGCATAGTTTAAAATATTTCCAAATGTCCGTTATTATTAAACCCTAATGTCGATTATTTTTAAACCCATAATATTTTAACATCTTTGAAATTTTGCATGTAAAGTGAAAATATGTTGAATTTACACATTAAATATTTGAAAACGCTATGTCAATTTGTATTTTATTTTTAAAGAACCATTTTGCGAATGTTTTAGACAAACCTCGTAAATCAAACGTTCGGTGAATGGCTAGTCTCAATTTTTCGACGGCAAGACAGACCGATTTTATAATCTGATATTTCATAGATGTCTGCGAAGGGCGACCATCGTATATATAAAAAAAGCCCTAAAGCGCACAATTTGTTGGGCTAGGTGAATGGCATACCTTCATTCCGTCCGTACCAGAAACTGTAAAATTATTGTATTGATCAACCAGGCACTGTTTGCGCTTGTTAAATTCTGTTTCATCATAAGTCGTCCACCAGTCAACTAATTGTCCATTTTTATCAAAATGTCGACCTTATTTTTTAAAAATAATAATAAAGATAGTGTTTAAAGTGCAATAACCTTTGTCCTGATTGTAGTTTTGTATAAAAATTTCCGGGAAGCAGATAAATAAAATCATCTAGCTCTTTGGTCTTGAAAGCTTTCTCTCTAAATATCAAAATTAAATCAACAAAGCAAACTCATGCAATATGTTCACTATCAATAACAACCTCTTTGACAGTAATGAAAGAAGTACAGACACGGGAACCAACCTTGTCATCCAGTTCTCACTCGTCATTTTGAAATTGCTAAGCCGATCCCCGTTATGTCTATGCCAGACCAAGATTAAGACCGAGAACCGTGCAAGTTGTTTTACATAAATGTAAATAAATTATCAAACTTAAATGCAACAAATGCAACAAGCAATGTCTTGGTCATATCACATAAATGCTGAAATGACATATTCTTGTAAAAGTTTGAAATTCATGTATAAATTCCCACTCCACGTACAATTTGAACTCGCCATTGCAAGCAAATTAAAGGCAACGCTCAAGACCACAGGACCACAGGCAAATATTTTGGCGTATGTAGTTTTGCACTGTCTCAATGTAGTATTAATGACTTTATTCAAGGTAAAATACTGCCTTTAATTCCAGTCTTTTGCATTTTCTTGGCCAGTACATCGTTAAGACTGTTCAAAACGATGAAAAATAATAACTTTTCTTTCTGACTTGCTAGGTAACGAGGGATTTTTGCGCACACCTGTATTTCCTGTGCTTACATAATTTTCTTAATTAATCAGAAATGGCACATTATGAATTTTAAAGAGATATCAAAAAAATTACCTGCATCATCAAACCCGTGTGTTATTTCATGTCCTATAACATTACCTATTCCACCATAATTCAAGTACCTGTGTAATTTTTAAATATATAAATGCTTATTTAGATAACAAAGATGCTTAAATAACTGTCTAATAAAACATTTCTTGATCATGTTACAATCTTTACACATGTTTTCTAGTAATTCGACCGGTTATAACCTCGTTAAGAAAATATTCACCCATTATAAAATATTGTTTAATATGCCGTATCGAAGACCAAAAAAAAGAACTTCATATATTGTGAGGAAAAAATATATTGTGAATACTGGAATGTGTTTCATTATAGCAAAGATCCATTTTAATTACCACAATTAAAGTTCCATTTAGATTATCGCAAAGGTTAAATACTTAACTTAATCATTTTATCATCTGAAAAAGCTGTCTAGATGTGCCGACTGGCGAGATATAACAAAAATGTGTTAAATTGACGTAAAAAAGAAAAAATGGGATAAAAGGGTTAGGGTTAGGGTTCTTTCTAAGAAAGAAATATAAAGAATAAGAAAAGACATCTTACTCTGGTTGGTCGTACGAGTAATATGGTGGTTGGAGAATGGCTGCTGGATAAACTGTAAAGACAATGTTTTATATAAGTTTCGAATAAAGAATAGCAAATTCCTTTTCATGAACAAAAATGTATTGAGCAATAGACTTGAATTAAATTTAATTTAATTATGTCAGGCTAATTAAAACAATGAAAAATAAGCGGATATCAACATCAATTATTATTTTGATTGCCATAAACTGATATTAATTTTTAAAAAAAAAGGAAATGAATACAGACAAAATATACGATTAACGTGTATTTACCTGCATGTGTAACATTATTGATAACAGTGCATAATTTAAAAGAGTCAGAGCATTTACAACTTCACAAACTTGTTGGATTTTTCCCAAAGCTTCATAGGGGACAGGAGACACATTCAAACTAATGCCCCGATGTTTAACTTGAGTAAAAATGATATATTTGGAATTATGTTTAAGGCCACTCTGACTAGATATTTGCTCGATTTAGATCCTTCATCCCCTAAAAGAATAAATTTTTGCCACAGGTAAACCAAGATATAGCCAAATTTACATATATCGCACGAAGTCTATCCAGTCCAATTTAAGTGATTGTGATTGAAATTACTTAAGCATGTAGTGGAGGGTTAATCCTCAACCTAGAGGAAATATCTGTCACATCGTGACATATGACCAGACTCTATACTGTTGGTAGCTAACGGTTTGTAGTTTGATATTGAAACTACTTCGATCTGACAAAGACAAATTTCTATAAAGGGCTAATCTATTACACGATTTCAGCTGAGCAAAGGTAAATAAAGATGAACTAGTTATTCGAGCAAACAGTTTACCCATCTGATTGGTGAGGAACATGTTGAACGCATTGACAGATGCAGCCGAGTCATACCATCTGGAAATAAAAGATGACTGGTTTCATGTCTGAACTAATACACTTAGTACAAACATTTTACCAAGTTGTCACTATTGTTTAGTAAATAGAGGATATTGAATGAGTGTAGTTTAATACTAAATTTATTGAACGAGTTGAATAAAAGCATATTATGCGAGCCTCTGGCGAGCATAATATTGTTTTATTCAACGATTGCAATAAATTTAGTATTAAATCTTCACGAACATTATATTCTATTTATCACATATGTAAAATAAAAACAGTAAACTGTTAAAATGAGTAATCTTTCAATGACGTGCCCATAACGTAACGCTAACATTAGCGCACTTTAACGCTAAGTTTCCATTTAGTGCAAATGACGTCACGTCAAATTGTTATAACACTTGTGTAAAATCGTTTTTATTAAATTACTTTATTATACTCCTGCGCCGCGGTTTATGTGATAAAATATAAAATGTGCAAATATGAATGTAATAACTGTTACATAAATTATTGACTTTTTTATGTAGATTATGCAAGTAAGTCGCACCATGCCCTACACATTTAGGCAAAAAGCATGTTAACAGATGTATCGATAAATAATCGTAACGAAAACAGTCGAGTTTGCTAAAAGCAGTTTAATGTTTTTAAAGTTTTTTTCCATATCTTTTTCAATGATAATTCTTTTTAAAGACTACTGAATTTTGGACTAAAAATGTTTATATGGTTCAATATGATGATGTGCACGTGTATTTTAGATACCTTGCTCTATCATATGGTTGGCGAAGTCTTTGCAGCACACGAACATTGCTGGCCTTGTCAATGCTTACTTTTGTTCCAAACGGGTCTCCGTTGTCCACAGTTGCCTTGAAATGTTGATCAATTTATATACCACATATATCTTTCAAGTATTGTCAATAGATAAAATGAAAAATAAAAGCTTTGCTTCCATATATGTTTCTGAAACTCAAAATTGACTTAATAAATGAAACCTTTTCCATTGGTTTACAAGCTTGACAGAAATGCACTTCCGTTACCAAACAACGTTGAAGATAATTACCGACCTATATTTATCTGTATTCAATACGTTTTTACACTGAATTGCTTCAAAAGTTGATAAAATTTGTTGATAAAAGAACACAAATAATAAAATCAAAATTACGATTATGCAAATGTTGGCAGACCTTCATTGTCTGGCACACTTCGCTTCATATAGTTCATCGGATATGTTTATGATATAAATGAGGTGTAAAATGACACGTCACTTACGTTCTCATAATACGTCTCCAGAGCAACGTCGTTGAAAGTAATTGCTGGATAACCAATCAGTGTTTCCATAGATTCCGCCTGAAAGTAAACATATGTGACTCAAAAATACATATTTGTTCAGACGCATTTGTCAAACCTTTTCTTGTTTGTTTCATAAGAGAAAAATGATATACGAACGGAGGCAAACAATTGGAACAATATAACGAAATTAACGCAACATGATGTTACTTTATTTTGAATAACTTAAAAACAAATTCTTTTCTTTATTATAACATATACAATTATAAAATTATTTTTCAAATTGTCATAATATTCGCATTCATTTTACCGTATCCCGTGCTACATGTATTTAATACGTTTGAAATAAAGTCATGCTGCCAACCACATATTGCGTCACGTGATGGTAATAAAGTCTGGGTTTTTAAATCATATGATGAAATAGATACAAAATGATAAAACTGAGCTACTTCATAAATACATTGAACTTTAGGTTCAAATATTCTTTGTGCTATGTTTACCTTCTCTTTTGCAGTTTGTTTTGTGACTTCATCTAACCACGTGCTGTCGTCGACCATACTTAAAAATGCCGTCCTAAGATTTTCAACCAATTCTAGAACCTAAAATGGCAAATAACTGTATTTTAGTACACTCTTAGTGACCGATGATAATATTGTTTACGCATGTTTTACTCCATGTTTTGAATACCACAAGTTTACGTCTCAAAGCATTAGATCGTACTGTTATCAAAGAGAAAAGTTTACTGAGTAGATCGTAACCCACGGTCTATCAGGTTACACAAAAATTATAAGGTACAGTTAGTTTTTAATGAAACATTAATTTCTGTCATGAAGCCAACAATATCCAATAGCAATAACAGGTAACCATATGTAAATTTATGTCAAGCACGATGGTTACTTTCTTTGATCAACTTTCTTTCATATTTTGTCTTGTTACAGTAGGGTGAACGTTTCGGTTGTCTAAAATAGCGTTTTTCGTGCGTGCTTTTATCGTATATATTTCGTGCGTATATCGTGCAACGTGCGTTTGATAAAACGCTTTCTCAAGCGTGCTTCGTTTACAAGCGTTGAACGTTTACCGTTTTTCGTGTATCGTTTTTCGTTAATCGTGCGTTTGAAATAAATAATGATATTTCATAAGAATATCCAAATGATAGATTTTGATTATTTTTATAATATTTGAAATACTTAATATGGTAAATGTGCCGATTGTAGACCAATCAACTTTGTCCATTGCAGATATTATGCCTAAGAAACGTGTATTTTTTCCTTCTTTGTTTATTACAGATATGATTTTTTATAACAATATAAAAGTTTAAAATCAGGGTTTTAATGCATGTTAGATTCTGAGTAGCACCGAATGTGAAAGTATATGTCATAAAAACAGCAAAATGTAAAAGTAGCATATTGACTTCAATATTAATACTATTTCGCTCTAACTGTACTATTTACCGAAAGGTTACAAACTCAAAAGATGGTATATTTAGTAACATTTTCGAAATTTCAACAGGATACCAAAAATAAAAAGGTTTTGTTGTGAAATAATAGTAAAAGCATCATAGGCCTCTTTAACAGAAAAAAAAACATTTTGATTCTTGAAACATGTTTCAGTATGAATAATGACGAAGAGTTTAATTATACAACAGTGACAGGAATTAAATTTTAAACATACTTACATCTTTTTGTTCGTCTTCACCAAACGCTTCCTCAACAAACAGACGACCAACGACTTCCGGGAAAGCATTTTTGGCAAGGTTTGCGCATTCCCGCCATCTGGGAGATTCTCGTGAGGCTCCGCTGAATACCTAGCGATATTGTCAATTATATGTATGTTAAGTTAGGTTTGGATTGCATAAATGATATAAAAAATGACTATATTCTCGTTGATATGAAATTTGAGATAATATTTATTACAAAATAAAAATGAGTACACCAAGCTTCAAATAAAACACGCATATATTTTTTGATGCTTTAAAGGGTGTTTTCGTTTCGGGGTGGGGCGTGGGGTTGGAGGTGATATGTTGGGTTGGGAAAGCTAGAGTGCTGTGTTGTTGTTTTGTTGTTATTGCTGTTTTGACGTTTTTGTCTGTTTTGTTTTGTTTCTGTTTTGTTTTTTGTTGTTGTTGTTTTTTGTTGTTGTTGTTGTTTTTAGGGGGTGGAGTTTTGTTTTTGTTGATTTTTTAGTTTATTTTACAATATATGCGTTTTTATTCTTATTTCAAAATAAATTCAGGGCTTAAGAACTGGTCCTTCCGAGTAGTGCTTTGTTGTTGCTGTTTTCAGTTGTAAAAAATATCTTTTTTTTATATTTTCAACAGTACCTTTGCATTTTTACTGACCATTGTTTGTTCAACGAAAAGGGATTTTATATATTTTTATACCAATTAATTAAATAAAAATTTTCCTCCCTTT